CGAAACTTCACTTGGCCTTGTTTCCCGAAAGGTATTCGCGTGTATTAAGTCAGATCAGATTTTGGGACCTGCAGACGCTTTTGAACTCAGAAAACCCTTCTGGAATGGTCGATAGGTCTAGCTCACGTACACATTATCACATTATTACATTATCACACGAGCAAAAAGCCTTGTGACAATCTGATCCAGAAGGGGGGTATGAAAAGTCTCGCAAAGAAGACAAAAGGACCAAGATAGTGTGACTTGTATTTTGAAAAAAAGTTGGGTTTAGAACATACTCTTGTTTCATAATTGTTGAGCTTACTTCCATTTCGAGTGAAAGTGTTTGGCGAAGAGATTCAGAGGTCGGTTCCACCTGAAGATGACGGTGGATTCCTATTGACCAAGAGTTTTCTTGATTCGTTAGCTTGAATTTGGTTGTGACGATGATACCTTGCTCTGATGATATTCGTCATATGACGGACGAAAGCATAGCACCTTTTCACCGGAATCGAAGGTGATTACCTCGGAAACAGCGTCAGCATGAATGTTCCAGTAAAGCCAATCGACAGCTGGTCAATAAAAATCCACCGTCGTCTTCTGGTGGAATCGACCTTCGAATCTCTTCATCAAGTATTTTCACTCGAAATTGAAGTAAGCTCAACCGTGTGATTCTGTTTTTTCTTAGTTGTTACCATTATGGAAGGTATATACAGCAAACATATTATGAAATCAATCAATCACTCATTCACTACACACACACACATATATATTTATTTTATTATATACACATAAATATGTAGATATATTGTAAATAAGGGGGGGTTAGACTTGTTGACTTGTCGTTAGTGCGAAGTCTTTGAAAAAGGGATCCAGCTCTGAAGGTGACTGTCAAATGGTCCGAAAGACGAAAACTCAGCGCCTTTTTCAGTCTAAACGAATAAGGATGCCTCGTGGATTGAGCCAACAGTAACAGCATAGAATGCTATGTTGGCAACCGTTAAAATAAAGAATCTCGTCAACCAACAATTTCACACAAAGTCAAAGTCGCCATGACAATTGAGCGAAGCACACACAACCTCAGATAGACTTCAGTTGGAATGATTGCAATGGATTCATACTTTCTGGAGAGTAGCTATACTTCCTAAAAGCTGTTCTAACTGTATCATTATTTGTGATCAGGGCACAGGCCTTGTGTCGTCGGGCTCCAGACTGAGCTTAGGGTTGCTATGGCCGTAGCAAACCTTGAGAATAAAGTCTTTTAAATTGTCAAATGCGCCATTGTGTAATTGCCTATCAGATTAGCGCAGTTGGACCATGGACACAAATCTCTCTACAATGTCTGCAAGCATAGGCAAAAAACACCACTAAATTCATCGCTCGAGTACGCTGCTTCCCGTCCCGACAGCGTAAGCGTCAGGTAGTCTGTAGGCAATACCGGTGTGAGCAATCTGCGCGATTTTACGAGCGGAACCTAATTGGAGTGGCAACCTTTTTACGTGTAATGAATTCCATGTGTTTGGCGGCATTGCCAAAATAGGCACATGAAGTAGGCCTCATTTCGAGTCTGTCTGCAGTTCGGAGGGTCAGGAAAACCTTTTCGTCCAGTTTGGGTGGAGTTCATCCAACAATACCCGCAACCTGAATATGCGACTTACGATTGCGCTTCCTCTGAAACAGAATCGTCGCACATATGTGAAGGGGGCACATTAAAGTCGTCTGAAGTCGAACGATTTTCAAAAAGGTGATATTATATTTGCCTAGAAAATACAACTTATGAAATTTGTCAATAGCAACATTAGCATTGGAGGTAATTCTGACCTAGTGTTGAGCGTGGCATTTTGTTAAAAGTTGTTCAGAGAACTGATGTGTCAATATTTAACCAAAAAAAGCTTTAAATACATATTTTGTAGAGCAATATCCTTCATTTCGTATTGTCTTATATGGCGAGGAGGGCACTTTGTGATGAAATCGCATCTGTTAAATGGGTTTGATCTCAGTTTTGCAACTTAGTTATATATTCAGAAATAACTTTGTCAAATTGATATTCCTAGTAATTCTGCGAATATGTCGATAAGGTGGTGAAGATAGAGTGAAGGCAGGTAAGGAGGTTAAATTACATACGATCTAAAAATGTAATCAACCTAGGTTTCGATGAGATTTATAAACTTGACAATGAGTGTTTGGAATGAAGGAGGATAGAGAGTTAAGAGGCAAGAAGGATACCAGAACGCGTGATGAAAAATGGCATAAAGTGGTTGCTCGACGCTATGAATGACGCCGGCGAAATATCTGGAAACGTGCACAGTCAAAGATCTAAGGCAGGAATAGCAGAAGATGTCGCTTGTGAGTCTTTCTGAAAACATGAACAATTTGTAAAGTTGAGGTCAAATCAGATCTATACAGCAAAACTACAAGCCACGCCATCTTGGGCTTCACATATTCAATATCTGTTGGTATGTGAGTACCGCAAGGCATAGGACAACCCCCAAATGGACTTTGGGTGCTTCACAAGGAACTAGGTTTGGTGTCAGAATTAAGCGCAAAACTGATGAATTTACAGGCATTACCTTGGCTGCCGTTCATTTTTCTTAGAAGCAAGATAATCAAGGTTCATGTAGTGGACGGAACTTCGACGGAAGATCACCAGACAATTGGCTGGACTGACTGCGAGTAATATGTGCTCAGGCCGTAAATCCAGTTCCGGAGGTCCCGATTCCGAATTTTCGCTGTTGTCAGTTTGATGGCTCCGATTTGTCTGTAAAATGGGAAAGGATAATTATGACATTCAGAAAAGGACAGCATCTACCCTAAATCCGTCCAGACCAGTGGGAGCCAACTATGGTGTGGTCTGTTTAATTAAGAAAGTTAAGAGTCTGCTTGCGTTTCAGCCCTTTTTCGGAGCTGATATACCAGAATCTTCGTATTCCACTGTCGGTAGTGGTGTCACATAGAGAGCCAATTCTCCTATACTCATACAATTTCGGTCATCATAACTTGTTCTATTGAACCCCAAACGGTAGTAAGCTCGAAAATTTGCCCCACCTTCTATGGGCAGATTTACTCTGGCTCCTGAAAGATCCAAAATTTCCCGTGAATGGAGCGAACATTATTCCATTCAGTGAGCTGTGGCTGGTAGGTGTATTGAAGAGAAGTGAGAGCCGTATCATCCCAAAATAATTCGAGCCTGAAACCACCTACCAGGGCCTCAACTGTCGTTTCTATATTCTGCGGTTGAGTCTGGCCTTTGCAGTGCCTGCGAAGGCAGTAGTCAAGCGAGAGCAGAACCGCCATGCTGATGGAGGTCCACAACGGAGCTGGAAGTTTTGGCTGTTTCGTTTCGTCCTTCACCATTTCTGCCGCCGACGCGCCCAGAGGGCGGCAGGCCAGGAGCTGATCGAGCCGGATCAAGAGGCTGAAAGGGTGGAGAAGATCGCGCTCCTGGGACTGGTACATCCTACTTCCAGAGGGGCCAGGCGTAGCCGCTATGCCGTCCGGTAGAGTTGCTTTAGAGTCCAACCAGGAGGTAAGCATTGCGTCGAGCGTTCGTTCGGGGTAGACTGCGCCCTCAGGAAGCCGAGAGACAGGCGGCTGTCAGAGAGTAATGAAACAGAGAAACTGTAATTTGCGGCTGAATGCCAACACTTGCAGAACTCAAGAGGGAGGAAATGTCGAAATTACTTACGGACCGGAAAAATGTGGACTAAGCATGAAAGGAAGCTGGTTTTAAAGATTTTCTAGGACAGAGTTCTGAGGATTTATTCGCATAAAGCTACAGTCACAAATCCAAGACAATCCTCTTTTGGCTTCCGTTGAGGCCAATTTATGAATCGAAAAGAAACAACATTATCTCAACTTCATTATCAACATCATCATTATTATCTAAAGCTCAAGACAGGTAAGCAAGAGGGGAACCTGAAAGAGAAAAACGCGAATAAAACTGGATTTCGATGATGTCTGTTATATGACGGATGGCATTGCCTCTATTGTGGTAGCAGTCTTCTTCAATCGTTAGTCTCATTTTTCCGAGGGAGAACTCGCAAAGTGCGCAACCCATTTTTGTCATGTGTTCGTGGTCGGTATCCTCATTAAGCCCTTATATTCTTAGCGGAGAGCTACACTTCTTCCAAGATGCAAATGAAGTTCATTCTTTGACCAACTATATGTACTCGTACATTCTCCTGTCACACATCGTAGATAACATCTTCTAGCTCACAACATGCCCATTTCAGAGGGGCACGAGTAAAATCCTGATAGGAGTTGGGTGAAGTGGCCTACAGACTGGAGGGAGTAAGTCCGAATTGCTACTCTGTCCCAAGGCGAAGAGAGGGGGAACCAGAGAGAATGTGATTAATGTTGGCATAATTTCTAGTTCGTTTGAAAATGTGGGTGAAAAGGATTCGCAACTGGATATCGAGAGAAGATTATATTAGACTTGTAACTGTTGGATTGTGCGAGGAAGACCTTGTCTCACCGTCCAAACTTCTGTTCATATCTACGAATGTGATTTTACCTGACACCTCTCGAGTAGATCAGAATAGAAAGGATAGAGGTTGTGATGGGAAGGGATTGCACCGGAACAGCAGGAGAGATGCTACAACCCTTTACCAAAAAGTAGGTCGCTTTGTAGCTCAGTGTTAAGGCTGGAAAAGCCGTTTGACAATGCCAAATGAGATGGCGGCGAAATGTTTGAAAGGGCACCAATTAATTGGTGCGATGTTGGAAATAAGCATAACTGATGAGGATGCTGGGTTTCGAAGAATCATTGAATGATTTAATATGACTCGAGTTTTTATTCCGAGGAAAAAATAAGCTGGAAGGAATTCGGTTTCTGGTGAGACCGAAAACGAATTCCCTCCAGCCAACCTTTTCCTCCATATGAATAATAATCGGACTTCTATGAAACCCCTGGTCTGCAATAGCAAAATCATTTTAAGCAACAAAGGTTGACTAAAATTCTTACTTAGAAAATTTCGTTGGCGTCTCACACACGGTTGCATATATAAAGGTTGTACGAAGAAAAGCTGGGATTCAAGGAATCCCAGAGTGATTTAGTATAAATTGGGTTTTCAGTTCAATAGAACCGATGTTGGGAAGAAGGCCGCTTTCCAGTGAGATCCATTTTAGAATTCTTTCCAAACAGGTCTTTCTTCGATGAAATACGTGACCTACGACGAGGAACTCGCGGGGCGTCGCTTTCACACAAGCTGCTGGCCTACCGATAACCGGAAATCCTCGACTCCACCGCCATTGAATAAGAGCATAAGATGATGAAGGATTGATCCTTGAATTTTTCCATACTGAGATGAGTAAGACCTCACATTTCTATATAATTTATCTTACCTTTTTTTGTCAAAAAGAACAATCTCATTCCGATCAGATCGGACTCCAATTCTGACCTTGCCTGGGTCTAATCAGCACCCTCAACGGGAATCCAACCCGGGCTGTGTTAATGTAGCAATCCTTATCCATATCACATA